GGATTCCTGAAACCGCGGGCATGACGTGTTAAAAGTACTTGTAAAATAAAATTTAAATACAATAAATAAATGCGTAACAAAAAAGTATTTGAAATACAAATACAAACTACTTTTATAAAATGTATTTAAATACAAAATAGAAAAAACGTTTTTTGAAAACATTCACACGTGCATACATACAAAACATACAAAAGGCGGTAATAAACAAAAAAATTCAATAACTCTTTTTTGTTGCAATAAAAAAGTGAAGATAATATAATGAGTAAATTTGCAATTTGTGTATTGCGCTTCGCATAACCTTTTTACATTTTCGTCAATCCGAATGAAAGATTTTTCAAATGTCAAAAAATGAATGGAAGCATTGTACATAGGAAATCCAATCCAAATGCGGAATCCCACACCAATTTTGCGGGATTCGCGGGACTAAAGAAAAAAAATTAAATGCACGAATGCGAGTTGTGAGCGGACTCGCCAAAATGTTCGTCGTGCATGGCTGTATTAAATATACATCATTTTGTATCCCCGTAAGATAATTTCAGGAGTTAAAAGCCCTTCCGAAAGGCTTTCAAAATATAAAACAGTAGTACAAATATTCAGTTCAGCATAAGTTAAAGGAGACAAATTATTTCCTTTCTGTTTAAATTAAGGCATCCTTATGAACCAAACTTTTAGCTTTATCGTGCTTCAAGTACTATATATTTAGCATCATTTCCTGTACTACAAATCTTGTTTCATTATTAATAGATAGAATTTTCAAATCAAAATCAGTATACTACGGTACATTCCGTTTAGCTGCCTATTCGCTTAGCTGTTTTAGTAAAGCTGCACTTTTCCGGTAGAATGCTTATTTCGGAAGGAGATTTATACATTACGAATGAACATCTTTCATTTAACAGCATCGCGGGATAAAAAAAAAACGATTTAATCTTTCCGTTTCGAAATGGTCTAAAGACTGTAAGATACAGTTTTAAATATCCAAGTGATATACGTAATTGATGAATACATATGTATCCCCCTTTTACAAACTCAACAACTCCCATATGTAAATATGTATGTCTGCATACCAAATTTCAAGATCACGTGAATTATGGCTCCCAATTTATGGCTGATTAAAAATTCCACGCCTATGCGCCACGTTCGCTTTTACAAATTCATGTATACAAACCTTACTATAAGCACCTACCGTAGATACGTCTGCATACCAAAATTTTAATTTCATGTGACTTATGGTTTTGAAGTTATAGCTGATAAAATTTCCACGAATATGGGATGTGCCACGCCCCTTTTTACAAATTCATGTGTATATAGCGTACTATAAGCACCTACCGTAGATACGTCTGCATACCAAAATTTTAATTTCATGTGACTTATGGTTTTAAAGTTATAGCTGATAAAATTTCCACGAATATGGGATGTGCCACGCCCCTTTTTACAAATTCATGTGTATATAGCGTACTATAAGCACCTACCGTAGATACGTCTGCATACCAAAATTTTAAGTTCATGTGACTTATGGTTTTGAAGTTATAGCTGATAAAATTTCCACGAATATGGGATGTGCCACGCCCCTTTTTACAAATTCATGTGTATATAGCGTACTATAAGCACCTACCATAGATATGTCTGCGTACCAAATTTCAACTTCATGTGACTTATGGTTTCGAAGTTATAGTTGATAAAAAATTTCACGATTTGGGGGGTGCCACGCTTCCTTGTCGAATCCCAATTTTTTTCTTCCTGTTATAAGCCCAGGTGTCATGGCAATACTCTGCCAAAATTTCATTCGATTCTGTCCATCCGTTTAGGCTGCAACCTGGCACATATGTACATATATACATATTTACATACATACACACTTCTACAAATATATAGAAGATATCTATCATTAGCCCAGTATATAAGAATTTTAGGAATATCTCGTACACAATGCCACCTATCGTGTACATTTTTAGTCCCAAAATTTATTTTCAATTGGGTAACATATCGAGCCCTAACCGCCAAAATAACGTAAGCGACATTTTTTTCAAAATTTTCTTTTAGATGCAGAAATATTCTTAGAGCATCTAGATACATTTCTGCATCAAAAAGAAAATTTTGAAAAAAATGTCGCTTACGTTATTTTGGCGGTTAGGGCTCGATATGTTCTAAATATGAGCCAAATCGGAAAGTAAATGCAATTTTTAGGAATATCCTGACCCCAGCGCCACCTAGCCAGCAAATTTTTGGAAGGAATATTTCTTTTCGAGGTATTGATATACATATGTTCCAAATATGAACCAAATCGGTCTTGCCGTTTAGTAGTTTAGTGGCACAAAATATACAGAAAACTCTATGGAATTGTGAAATTTTGACGTCTCAGCTATGTGTTATTGCAACTTAAAATGTATATTGAAATTCATTTGTAATGCTAAATAACATAAATTTGTGCATTCGCGTAAATTGTAAATGGATAAGCCTTTCTGCAGGGAAGCATTTTTCAGCCCTTCATGGTAGGCCTGCTGACAGTTATAGTTTCGAGAAAGTAGAGAATTTCGTTTAAATGGGAACCAGCATTAACATCGATAATAATGTCAGCATTGAAGTCCAACGTAGAATCACTCTTGCCAACAAGTGCTACTTTGGACTGAGTAGGCAATTCAGGAGTAAAGTCCTCTCTCGACGTACGTATGTCGCAGAAGCATGGACAATGACATCCGATGAGGCGGCTCTTGGAGTATTCGAGAGAAAGATTTTGCGGAAGATTTACAGGCCTTTACGCGTTGGCGACGGCGAGTACCGCAGACGATGGAACGATGAGCTGTATAAGATTTACAACGATATAGACATAATGCAGCGAATTAAAATTTAGCGGCTCCGCTGGCTTCGCCATGTCGTTCGACGCTCCAGCTCTGAAAGTATTCAACGCGGGCCGCGATGCTCGTAACAGAGGAAGAGGAAGGCCTCCTCTGCGATGGAAAGACCAGGTGGAGATGGACTTGCCTTCACTTGGCATTTCCAATTGGCGTCAGTTGGCACAGAAGAGAAACGACTGGCGTGTTTTGTTGAACTCGGCCAAAATCGCTTAGGCGATTACAGCGCTAAATAAGAAGTAGAAGAAGATGGGTAGGCCTTATGGAATGGCTTCACTTGAGAAGGCCTACCTAAAAAAACGACAGGACTAGCTACGACGCGGGAAACTTTCGCCATGTGTTTTGAGGTTAGAAAAAATCCTGGCGTGATGGAGCAAAACTGACTTCAGATTCGTACCCCAGCGACCCCAAAAACATATAAAACACCTGGTCTAGAAAACTTTCGTCTTGATAACTAGCTCAAACTTTGTACACTTACCGATTTATGAACACATTGTACAAGTATAGAACAATCAGTTTCTAGCATAAAACACCATCCACCTATCGACAAATAAGTATACTATCGGAAAAACTGATTTTTTTCTTGAGCTTCCTTTCAGATGCTAAATTTCGAACACTCAAAGCACTAGTTCTATTAGAGGCACGCATTCAAGAGTATGTTCTTTAGAATATGTTACTTAAACGCCATTTTCAAATATCAAATGGTAAAAAAGTTACGTGAAAAACAGGAAAACTTAGTTAAATTTAAATAATCCAGAATCACTGATTTTTTGGCTAGTTTTGGGATTACAGCGAGCGTGAATGGTTTCAGATCGGATAAAACACCACAGTAACTCTTAATATAATATACATATATATTTTCTTCTGAAAAATACCCAACAGATATAGCGATTTTGACCATATACCTACGAAACTATGCATAATCACCAAAATCAAAAGTTCCTGAGATATGCCCATATGTGCAATAAAATAAGGTCGAATTTAAAAGTTGAAACTTTAAAGACCTTATCAATTAAAAATGAATACGTAGATTCTCTAAATCAACTCTTTTTTTTAACCGACTTCACAAAAAGGAGAAGGTTATCAATTTGTCGGAACACTTTTTTATTTTTCTTTTATATATGTTACCGCTTAAACTTTGGACCACGTTAACCGAATCAATAATTCTTTTCTGAATTTGGTTTAAATCCGATGTGTCGATCATGAAGAACTTTACGATAATCTTAAATTTTTATATGAGAATTGAAGTCGGATTTGTTTTTTGCTTAAAAATTATTTTTTTACATATAAATTTTTAATATAACTGTTTAGAGAAAATATTAATACGATTTTTTTCAGTCCTGATGACCTCGATCACGAAGGCTTGGGGAATTGCGATTTTTATGCTGGATTTGATAACCTAATTGTAAGGAAAAACTTTATGATATGACGAATATTGAAGAATAGAAAAAGTTTTTAAAAATACAAAAAACAAATACTCGTTTAAAAAAAATATTTAAAATATGAAAAACAAAAAATTTCTTCCTCCACAAAATGATATTTGCTTTATCGAGACGGAGAATCAGTGTAACATTAGGGAGTGATATAAGCAGCCGAATGTTGTTTTTATTGTATTTAGCAACATTCACCTAATTGCGTATTGATTTAAAATGTAGATTATTTTTACATGGTGAATTGCATTAGGCTGACAACACATGATAGCAGCCAAATTGGTGTTTGGGGAAAATTCAATTAAAATAAATTTAAAAGCGTTTATGTGGCATTTAAATATAATTTCGTCACGAGTGAAATATGCGATGTGTTTGTGATTCACTAGGCGTGCAAGCAATAAATATTTGTCAAAAGATATATGCTAATGGTAGAAATAATTTTAGTATATTATATTTAAAGGGAGCAATGGGATTTTGTTTACATCTACATTTATGTATATGTACATAACTACATAAGTATGTGCACACAAGAGCGTTGCAGTCATATAAATTAAATTTGTTTAGCTATTTTTAGTTATTACAATAAATGAAATTGTTTTGACGTTTTTTAATAATTAGTACATAAATTATTACAAAATAAAAATATTGATAATATGATCTGTACTAATTTGTTTTATACTTATGACGCAAGTTGGTTAACTTACTCACACCTTATTTTCAGGTCTGACAATGTGTTACCAAAGGCTGTCTGTAAACAACAACAATCACAATAACTTGGATGCAAAACCAACACATATGCCACCGTTACACTATCCACATGGCCACAGACGGAATGAACCATACTTTGACATGACAATGCCAAAGAATATTACATCGCTCGTGGGCAAATCTGCATATTTGGGATGTCGTGTCAAACATTTGGGAAATAAAACGGTAAGTAAATTGTAATGTCATGTTTACTTTTACAGTAATGGTAACGACAAGGAATACACATGTACATGTAAATGGGACCGACATGCTGGTGTGTGTTGGCTGATTTTTTTCGATAGGGTGGGAAACATTTCCGTTATCGCTTGCTGAGTTTGGTTTGAGGCAAAACCGGATTCGGCGTTGTAATATATTTAGTGTTATTTACCATCCTTACCTAAAAATTAAAGTAAACTGTATCAATTAAAATTTTCTTATTGGTTTCCATCAGGATTTATACACTTTTTCATACGCTTAAACCAATTGTAAATTCGGTACCTCAAAAACATGGTTTTGGAATGCGTCAACAGATTCTTAAGGCGTTAAGCAAATCGCCAGCTTATCCTTGATGTACGGGAGCAAAAAGTCATTTGTTGGAAAGATCATTTGTCGTTGTTCGTTGTTTTTCACCTTCAGTCAATAACCGTTTACCAAGCAAATTACCAATGAAGGGCCAACTATGACCCGTTATTGTAATATTGTATGTATTTGTGGTAGGAGCGTGAATGCCTGAGGCTTATAACCAGATTTTATTCGCATCTACGAAACGATATCTTAATTTTTGCATCACTAGGCATATTTTTTCATATCTCTTTGAGTAGCTTCAGTAACATCGCGCAGCTAAAATTTTGGCTTAAGAAATATTTAGTGCCGCGCAATTTGATCCCGTTTATCGACTATTGCCATTCGTCGAAAAATTCGAAACCTTTAAAAAACAAAAGAAAACAAAACAAAAACAAAAAAAATTTCAAAACCCACGAAGGAATCGATATACTCACGAAACAATGGGTCGAATATAGTAAAACTGCGTTTTTAGTTTTTCACTCCGACGTAAGGATTTTTTTTTCAAAGGACTTTGAAATTTTAAAGGTATAATTAATTAAAAAAAGAATTTAAAAATATCAGTGTCATGTAAGATAACTATATGGGTACCAGATGAGAGAGAAAATTCTGTAGAATTTAAAAACAATAAAGTTTTTTGGTTTACAAGGAAGAGTAGGTATTGAAAATGCGCGTTTAATAAATTTTATCTTTTTAAGTAAATTAAGTTTGCGAGACGTGATTCTATGAAGAGGTCGTGCGTATATTAGTCCTCAAACAATAATTTTTTCGAAAAAATTTTTTGCAAACTTTCAAGAATATTTAGGGACAAAATTTGTAAGGGATATTTTCCATACCCACTCGTCCTTATGGACCAAATATTTGTTCTGTTATAATTCTATAGAATTTTTTCATTTATATGATACCGTTTATTGTTACCTTACATTGCACTGAATTTTTTAAACAATTTTTTGAAATAAACATATTTTGAGTATTTTGAATAAACATATTTTTTAATTTCCTTTAAAAAAAATCCCTATACCCATAGTTTCGCGAATATGTTAATTTGTTTTTGTGTAAAATTTACTGTCGCACGGTGTAATGAATGGATTCCAAAAAAAACCAAAAGACCAAAAAGCTATAAAAAAAGCGAAAAGGCACTAAAAATCCCCAAAAAAATAAGAAGAAGAATTGGTAGTAAAAACCGAAAAAGACTAAGTAAAAATGCATTTATTATAGAAATGCTTATTTTACAATCAAAAAGAAAAATAATTTTGTAAACTAGTTTATCATTTTATCATATCGAGGGCTTATATTCATTCAATACGATTTATCTGCAGTTTTCACAAAAACTACTTTTAGAACTCATCCGATACTTAAATGTGATCATTGATTGCAATTTTAACTTTGAAATACATTAGTTAGTTCTTCTAAAAAGGATATACAAGGTCAGCATAAACATCATCGATGACAGTTAAGTCTTAAGAGGATTTTTATGTAGGAATCTCACTTTTGTGAAAGCAGTGCTCATAAAAATGACAGGGTTAAGTACTAACTAGTAAAGAAGCTTACTTTCAGACGAAACCTATCGACCTTATCCCTTTGTAGGGATGAAACAATACGAGTAAATACAGGTACATACTCGCTACTTGGCATCGATACTTTGAACCAAGTACTGAGTAGGTATCGAAAAAACTACTCGTATCGAAACCCGAAACCAAGGCGAATATCCCTTCAGAATTTTTTCCTCCACTAGTATAAATCGCCCAGTACTTTATGGCTCTTTAAACGCCAGCGGCGTAAATGTTTTCCTGAAGCCAGCATAAAATGAACTTTTGTAAAAGATATTTTTGCTGTTCTTGCATCAGGGAATTCATTTTCGTGGTGGCAAAATACCAAAAAATCTATTCAAAATATTTTTATTTAAGTTCATTGCACGCTGTTCTTAAGTCAAAAGAATACAAATCCAAAGAAATTTGGGTTCAAAACTTTTTAAAAACTTCATTGCGTATTGGGTTCAGGCCAAAAAACGAAAATATTTAAACCATCTATTTTTGAAAGTCATTATAAATGTCAAGGTAATTATTCTACCACCCGAGACTTCTGAACATCGTTGCAGTTATTTCGGTATCTCTTCTCGTTTGATTTTTTCTATTTTTTTCAAAAATAGAACACTGTGCGGCGTATACATGGCCCAACGTACAGAGTAACTCTATTATTCTTCGCGCTGAAAACATTAACGGACAACATTAAAGGTCATGGAGACTAGCTCTATTATTTAAAAGAGAAGCAAAGGAGAAAAGAGTAGGGTGAAAAGCGTGGATGACAAAGAAAAAACTAAAATGTTCAAAGTAGCCAAGCCCAGAAATTTCGTATTGAAATTTAAGCTTTCTGAGAATTCACCATATAAAATCCGTTAATTTTTACTATGTGAGATATACACCTGGAATTTTGTTAACTTATAAACTTTTATTATTCGGCGTATTACTTAAAAACTTCAGCAGCTCATGCGGAATACCTTCATAGCCAAAAGTACCGATACGATTAGGTATCGATACTTTAGATCCGATATTTTTCGTGTATCGATACTTTCTTACTATACTACTTTCAAGTAAAGGTATCCATACCTGCATGATATCGTTTCATCCCTACAGCTTTCTGTAAACTACTTGCCCTTGCAAGATAAGTAGCGTTGTTTTCCAGGTGTTCAACCATTTTCAATAATATGCTCAGTTAATGAAATAATTGAACCAAGTTTGGTAGAATATGATAAACCGGTCACAAAGATACACCGACATACATATAGACAAAAGCAGGAAAGCTAAATCACTCCTCCCCAAATGATTTTAGAGCAATAAGTCTCTCATCGTTCATTCTAAAAACACTTGAAAAACTTATTGACCTATTCATAAGGAAAGTACCCGCATCCACTCAATGGATATAGCGCAGCATGTCTATCTTAAGGACAGAGCGGTATATAGCGCTCTCCACGAAGTGTTCGGTCGGGACTATTGAAAAGTCACCGGAATACAGGGAATACACCTTAGACAGCTTCTTAGATGTTGAACGTCGAAACGGAGGCAATTATATATTTATTTATCCATCCAACAGTATATAGTTGTGTGGATCGGATTGATGCTGTAGGGCCGAGCAGCGTAGTATACCTGTAAAAGGACTTTCGGCAAAATCTGGAGTCTGTCACCGCATATCATTCACGGTGTGTACACCACAGTTAACCGACCGATTTTAACCTGGATCAAAGCAGTGATCAGAAAATAATTGGAAGAGTACAGAGACTCGCAAGCTTCGGTATATTTGGCGCCATGAATATGGCCACAAGAAGGGCTGAACATGGTCTTTTACTTGAAACCTCCACAAGTATTCGTAACAGGTGCAGCCCCAAAAGGGGCCCTTAGAGGGAATCGAAATCGTGGAAGCAGACCAACAACGGCCACGCAGCGATTTTAGCCGACTTAGATGTCGAAACTGACTACTTCATGTCATCCTGGGATTATAGTTTAAGATTTTCATATACTTTTCAACCCAGGAAGACTAAGAAGGTTGCCTTCTGCCGGTAAATTTTGGTATTTCCATTTACACCGATGGCTCAAATATGGATCTGTACTCCAAGGACCTTCAAAGAAGACAATTATACCGCCTGCGTGATGACTGCAGTTTCTATCAGGCGGAGATATTTGCCATAGAGAAAGCGGCTTCTCTCATACGGGACAGTAAGTCCCTGCCAGGGAACGTTACTTTATTCGTTGACATCTTGGCGGCATTGAAAATATTAGGCTCCAAGTAAAGGCTCTTCACGGTGTCGTCAGAAGGCACTGTACTATAGCACCAATGCTCCAACGACGGCTCCCTCCAAGCTCCCTCTGCAAAAGTTGGCGGGATGAATATGAAGAGGATTCGATTCACCACTTCTTATATAAATGCCCAGATCTCCAGACAAGGTGTGTCAAGCATTTGGTATAACGTTTGTTTAATAGCTTGAGGAGATAGCGGAGGTGGAAAAATAAACATCCACGGCTTCATCCGAGGTAGTAAGTGGTTTGACAGACTTTATACCGACTGTATGGATTAACCGTGGTTAGAAGGATGTGCCTCCTCCTGGCACTCACAGTAGACATTCACAATGGGAAAATCTGTCTCCGTGTGTAAGTGCAAGTCATTCGTACGCGCTTTCCTAACCTAACCTAACCTACAGTCCGATTTCGCCAGTTTTGAATACCAACTTGCCTTGGGTGAAGGCGAACCTACATACGATACCAAATTTCGGTCAAATATCTAAATTTATGCTCTCTGTTGATTCCGAGAAATTTGGTAAATATAAGTATGTCTATATCTATCTAGATTTCTTAAGGCTGATACAAACAGCCATTAACCGAATAAAGTTATAATACCCTTGTGGAGAAGTGCGCTCGGATAAGGATCAATTAACGCCTAACTGGTATAATAGTGCAACAAAAAAAAAGTAATTGAATAATTAACATTTTGGTGGAGTTTGTGGCCGTGATTCCGGAGATCATCACATCTCTTCAACAAAGATCTTCATCGAGTTCACCGGGGCAATCACAGAAAAGCGTGTGGTTTGTAATATACGAGTATTATAAGGTTTTCGTTTCTACCAAAAAAAGTTG